TATACATATTCCTCCTCTAGTTTCTCATATAATTTTTTTCAATTATTATCAACTATTTTCTTCAACTTTTCTCCCGTTTTACAAAATTTTTAAAAATCTTAAATTTTTTCGCGCAAACATTATTTTAATATGTAAAAATAAATTAAATATATAAATGCAATATTATTAGAAAATACTTCACGAAAGATGCAATATCGGGAAAAAAAGAAAGCGAAAGAGAAAGTAGCAGTAGACACGATGAGAACAGCAACGTGAAGTATTTTTGCCTCATGCTAGTGTGCGTTCATCTCCCTCTCCCTCTCTCTCTCTCCCCCTCTCTCTGTTATATCATGTCAAGTTGGATCGTCGTGAATTTTCGCGCTAAGTATCCGCTTACTGGGTGTCAAAAGTGTCCGCCTAGAGGTGTCTGAAAATGTGCTTTCGCGATATAATGTGCAACGCGAAACGACCGTTACACTCTGCGTGTACGAACAATACAACGCGTGCAAATACGCACACACGTACTACACATTAATACCGACATATCGCGAATGCGCCATCATTTCTTTCATGCGGTGTAACCGTGCGCGACCACAGCAACGCATCGATGACTATCTTGTGGGCAAACTACTTATTTATATAATTAACTGCCTATACAATTATATTAATTGCGTTGCAGACAGAAATTGCATTGCGCGTCAAAAGGAAGATATCCAATTGTTTCGCAGAAACATCTTATTGCGAAGTAATTGCCCCTTCAATTTTCCCCGGCGAGATTTTAAAAATTTATTATTAATTAATTAAGAGCGTACAAGGTGATATCTGACCATAATTAAGAGAAATCATTGTAATATTCCTTGTGTCAACTATGATCATCAATGTATAGCCATATTAATTGACATAGGTCATATATACAATTAATGCGCACGCTATTAGTATAGCTGATTAGTACATCTGATTAACACTAGACTGGTACTGCTGCCTCTGCAATCGCGAAACTTTCTTATCTCTTGACAAGCAACGTTATTAATCTCCCACGAAGAGGTGCGAACATTCGTTATTTAGCCGAGTATCTTTTATGATTTTCAGGCTTATCAAACTGTTTATCAAATACAAACAGTCAATGTGTATGTATGTCATATCGATAATTTCCAGAGCTAATAATCAATGTAAATATCATCGATCGTCAAATGAATTTTATTTTCATAAAGTTCGTAAAATAAACAATACACGCCCATATACGTATGTTTAAAATGCTTCGAAATTATATATTAAGAATTATATTTAATTAAATATAACATTCTGAAATTTTTAAAAGTTTCTTTAAAACGTGATTCAAATATTATATATTATTATATATTATTTTTTTAAATATATATTATATATTATGTATAATTATATAATATATTATGTTAATTTATTATATTTTCCATATTAGTTTCAGGTTTAACAGCCTCGCACGTAAATTTATGCATCTTATATGCCGTGATATGTAACGTTAATAACGGTGTAACTATGTACTCGCAATGCGGAGCTGTTAATCGTTCACTTGCTCATACGAGTTGTTGGAATGTCGCTTTCTGTATCGGTTTAAATTTAACTATCCGGACTGGACAAACAAGATTGTATCGATTCTTTACGAGTCAATTTATTTCAAATGATATAAGGGCAGCGAAATATTTGTATTACACGATTGTACTATAAATATTATAAAAAAATAAATATTATAATAAAATATAATTTACGTTTTATCGTTCTGTTCAAAATAGCAGCGTGAGTGAAAAAAAGTGAATAATTTTTTAATTAATTAAACTTCAAGAATGCGCAAATATAATAGAACATGATTTTTTTCTATGCTACTTTAAACAAACTCTCCTTAAAAGATTTTTAATTGGAGATTTTTAACACTTTCACCAGATATTTATGATACAAGATTATCTGTGATATATTCATCGGATGGTGAAAGTTTCAATTGTCAAGATATGCAATGTTAAAAATTACAAAACATATAAGTAATATTTAAAAAAATTTGTTTATGAGAAAAATAAAAATGTAAATTAATAAAACAAAATTCCATAATTTTTTGAAATACGAAAAATAGGAGAAATACGAAAACGATAAGTTTTTAAAGCGTTTCATATAATAAAAGACATTACAGTTTAATTTCTAAGATTCTATTTCTAAATTTAAAAAAATACATTATATATATATATATATATATATATATATATATATATTATATATATATGATATTATCTTATTGGAAAGACACAAATTAAAAGTAACGTCTTTGGCTTCGCAGAAATATGTTATATAAATATTTATACTGCGTCATAAAATTCATTAGATGTGCACAGGATGTATAATTGCGTTGAAATTAATCATCAACAATTTCATTGAATGCGAAATAAAGAATTCAACGTAGTGATATTATAAATTTAGTACTGAGAATCATCGATGATCAAATAAAGTATCTGCCGACGGTTCTGGGCGAATAATCAGTGATCCAGAACCGAAGCGATTCGCGATGAAGGAAGAAAGAGTTTTGTCCGAGTGCTGATTATCCACGGTTATGGCTAGCAAAAACATACCTTTCTTCGGTGCCTTGGGTCGCTTCTTATTCGCTTCAGGATGAGACAACGGGATCTATAGCGCATACTTCATTTATCGATTGATCCTAATTTCTTTTCCCATAAGTTTGAATAGCGACAATTCGTACCGTGATATTAAAATAAAGTAATAAACATCGGAACTGATCTTTTGTTGTTCATAAATATTCTTCAGATATTCATTTACCCATATGTCATATCTTTCTAAAGCAAAATAACTTGAATGCTTGATCTTGAATTTAATTGATCGTGAATTGAAAATCAAATAAATAGTAACGAGAATTACTTTTCAGTTATGTCATTTTCTAACAAAATAATTTAATACGTAAAGTCAAGAAAATGTAACATGACTAACATTCAAATTTTCGATATATCGAATTTACGATTTCTGTGTTTGGCGTAATAATCCTTTTAATTATTACGAAATATCTTAAACAATATTAATAATAATATATTGTAAGCTATACTAACATTATTTTGTACGTCGACGAACGGACTATCTATTTATTAATTACATGTAGAATGTATTACAACCGCAAAAATCTTCAAACTCAATATTTTTACTTCGTCGGAGAGACTTTCTTACTAGATTATTTTATCATCAAAATAAGGAGATATATATAAAGAAAATAAGTTAGATGTACTTGATTAGACTTCACTTATTTTGTAAGCATTAATTGTTTCAATTATTGAGTCATACATTTATTATTCCAAACACGATTCCTGGTGCGAGAAAAGAATTTTTAGACGTAGATAATTGTCAGCCACGCATTATCGTATCATGCTTCGCGCGTGTACATATATAGATAATCCCGTGTGCAACAACGGACAAGAGAAACTTTCTGTAAGGCATATCACTTCGATAGAATGCAGTGGAATTATAAATGCCGGGCGTACACACGTAAGATTTGCACGCTGTACGGGATATATTTTAAACGTATCGCCACGATACCAAACAGGTTTTCAGGTGATCTTCAAGATATATGGACAAGTAACATCTTCCAGAGATGAAATCGGAAATTTTTCTTCGCGATGAGAAAACCATGACCTTTCTCGTTGACTTTTCTTACCAATATTTTTTCAAAGATTATCTTCGTGTGTTGTGGCAAAGATATTCATCATGTTGTAATGTTAATCGAGATATCTGTTCGTATCAGAACACAATCGCAGATAATTCCCGAGAACCATTTCAAAGAGCATATTCTTTCTCAGAGTTTTTGATCATATTTATCAGTTCATTTATCATATGGTTGGCACGATTTTTGAGAAAAAAATTAACATGCGTGATTCATAAAAGAAGTAGTTGCACAAGTGTTTTAGAAATATCAAATATAAATTAAATTTGTATAATGTTTCATTTGCAAAATCTGTTTTGCAAATTCAATGTAATGACGTAAATCAAATAAAATATTTTTTCTATAAATTGCGATATGAAATCTTCAATCTATGAAATAAAAAACCGGTAACCATAGGTAACCATAACTGTGATTTCTTGAATAATCACATGATTTTTTAAATAAGTATTCATTCAATATACTTGTGTAACAACTTTTGTAATTTATCATTTTAATATCCGCAAATATATTTGACATCTTCGAATTGTTGTCGAACTTGTTCTCATTAAGTTCGTACCAATTTTTAAATGCATAAATTGGCATCATAGAATGTATAACTAATACTTGATTATTTGAATAATCATAAGTAATTTATTATTGTTATTTGATCAAAATCAAAATTTAATAATTTCATTATTACAATAGCAGAGCTATCAAAAAATCAAAGTAGTCAAATCTAGTACTTTGAAGATAAGTAGAAAATGCGATGCTAAATATAGAAAATTTAGCGATTATTATATGATTCAAGTTGGAAACAGACAATATATAAATAGAAGTAAATAATATATTAAATGTACGTTTAGGAAAAACGAAATTACGTTCCACGTAATAGTTCGCTGAATAATTTTCATATGACGAATTATTGAAGCTATGAAAAAAAAAGATTTAAATTACTATGTTATACATTTATGATTATATAGTATGTCTAAATCTTTATTCTCAAATATATATATTTTTTTATTTGGAATTATTTTCCATTTTCTATATATTCTATATTTTCTATATATTCTATATATTTTCTATATATTCTTGTATACTTTTAAAAAAATATTAAAATTATATATATTTTTGTTTCTAAAATCTATATTAATTCAAAAAATAAGAAATTAAAAGAATTTAAATTCATAAAATTGATTAATCTTATAATAACATAAATATATATTAAAGCACCCATATTAAAATATTTTTTATGTAATAGTATTTCTTGTGAAATACATACATTTATGAGGATTTTTATCTTTTCTTGTAAAAAGATTTATCTCACTAGAGAAATATATTCAAAATAAAACATACTTACCTAAAAACATGCGGCTTTTAGCTTCGTCTGAACTCTTTTCTGTGCCTTTACTTGAGCTACATTCGAGGGTGATGGCAACCATTTCGTCTATCCAGGACAAGATCATAGTAGTAATAATATTATCTCGCATATCGCATCCCAGGCAAATGCACAGCCCATAGCGAAGTAAATCCTTGAATTTGTTGATTGAAATTGTCTCAAAGGGGAAATCTAGTTTTAAACGCTGAAAATAAGGTAAACTTTGAAAATTTTTTTAAAAGTAAAAATAAAATCGATCTTTCCGAAACTATTTTATAAATAATTAAAAAGTTTTTAATTGTTTATAAAATAATTTTTAAAGTGTCTACAAGGTTTTCAAAAAAAAATTATTTAATATATATGTATATGTACTATAAAATAAAAATTTATTTAATATATATAATAAAATATATATTAAATAAAATATCTTACTTCTATCACAGTTTCTTTGTAGCTTTTAATCAAGAGCGAATCATTCATGTTCACGAGTAATCTCGTTTAATTAATTGCGATACCCACGACAATATAATATCATGTGACTTTAGAATTTAAAAAAGAACACACATTTCTCGCGAAAACAATTTAATATAAATACAATTTAATATAAATAAGAATCATTTGCGAAAGTTGTTTATATATGCTCAAGAATTGGGACTGGTTATGGACTTGGGAAGCTATCGATTAGCCGAAAAACTCGTGTAATTTAATTGGAAAGTATTCCAAGTAGTATCCCAATATTCCGTTGTCTAATTATATAAAAATAAACAAATGTCCAAGGTGCGGACAATATTTTAAATAATCATGATAATACGTAAAATAGTCGAATAATAATGAGAGGAGAGGAGAACAATACCGTGGGACCTTCGCTCCACCGCCGAATCGGACATCAGTTTTCCGGTTATGTTACATTATGTTATATGATGCATTATAGACATTATACTAACCAATGGCGATCTATCTAGTCGCCATGGCTCCGCCTCTACCAAAGACTTCTCTGAATCGTTTTTAAAATAAGGAAATAGCTCCCCTCCTCTTTCCTCCCTTGCTTTCACCCTTTCTCTCCCACGCTTGCACACCATCTCTACCCCACTCCGGATAGCTCCCTTCCTCTCTTTCTCTTTCCTGTTTGCCGAATCCGATCTGCGCGGCGACTCGACAGAATAGACAACAGCATGTGCAGGTGCCGCGTCGCCGGAACGCTTGGTGTTGGTTCCCTCCTTTTACGTACGCAGGTGAACTCGGCCAACCACGTGCTGTTGTGCGCGCGTGTGCGCGACAGCACGTGTACGCGGCGAGAGCGAGAGAGGAAGACTAGAGAGCGATGGGAGGAGCCGGGATGAGTAAGGGTTTCGGAGAGGAAGAGGAAGAAAAGAAGGGGATGAGATTGGAGCCCCTATCGATACGAAGAAGGGAAAAGATCAAGGTCTAGATATACGACTTATATTCTCGACTTTATTCCAATCCGCCGAGAGACATTACTCCATCAACGTGTACACAGAGAAAAATATAATTCTACTGCCAAGAAAAGCGATTACTCAGTTTATTTTTCTTTTTTTAAGTAATAGTTTTCTTCAACAAAGAATATATTCTTGATAATAATCTTAAAATATACTCATTACAAGTGTAGAAAATCTCATTATCATGTAGTTTCTTCTCAAAAGAAGAATTTATTTTCTCTTCAAGAATATTGTTAAGGTGTATCAAAGAAAAATCAAACTTACTTTACGTCAACTCTTGTAGTAAGCAAACCAAATTTTTGTTTTAATTTAATATTCTTGACTAAAATACTGCACTTACTAAAATTCAGAATATATTCAATTAAATTTAATGCTTGTGATAAACTTGTGATATATTTGCAGATATACAAACTTATGATATACTTAAAATAAATAATATTTACTTGAATACAGTATACATTTTTCTCTGTATAGTATGCGAGTTAGGCTTTAGCGTCTTTCTCGCTCTCTCTGATTTTTCGATCATCTATTAACATTAATGTTATCGAACGGTCATTTTACGAGGAACGAATTATGATGCACGAAAAGAAGAATGTCACAATATGATTCACCAAGATGGCAGCTTGATTCGTTAATTAACCCTTGACTTTTGAAGCGAACGTGAGTGACACGTATATAATTGACTATTCCAGCCTATTTATTTAATAATTTTCGTTCATCGATAAAATTCGTATCCCAATTAAATTCAACGAATTAACATTGCAATTTCATGCTTGATAAAAAAAATTATTATAACGCAGACATGATTCGATCTCGCGTTATAATTCACATATATTTATTTCTTTTACAGAGATGAACAAAAGATTAATATATTGACGTTATTATATTGCATAATCATATAATTAAGCAGTTTATATATATATATATATATATATATATATATATATATATTTTGTATTATACGAACATAATTCTCAGATATCACCCATATATCAGTCAGAAGGAAGAAGAATGCGAGCGCATTATCACAGATCTAAATCCTTTCGTTCGCGATTCTTAATAATCAACATGACTGTGCTCTTATTATCGGCGTCGAGATCGATTACGCAAGTACGAAAGGAGAATATACAAACGATATATCATTTCGGTTCCATGAACGGCGCGATACGAGTGTGAAAGAATGAATGACTGTCGGCGTATCTCGTCACGATGTTTGTATTCATTTTTACCCGGACGTTAAACGAATTCTTTCGCGGAAGAGAAACAGAACGTTGGGTCGATGAAATCAATCTGATAATATTTGGAGTGTCTTTAATGTTCGCAACGCGAGGGACAGAATGATTACGTAGCGCGATGACGATTGTTATGAATGATTGCACGTACTCTCTGGTTGACCCGTCTCATTCGAATAAACACGATCTGTGCATGAAACGTTAGCGATCACAGATAACTTTATATTGCAATATTCTCAAGACACATGCACTCATGTCTTTTAATTCTTTTATGCATTACATTTTTTGTGCTATTTTAATTATTAAAATTACATAATAAAATAAATATTACATAATAAAATATGTATATATATTAATCTGTTTTTTCAAAATAACAAATAATTATAAATAAGATATATTTTTCCATCTTTTTTTTTATTTTACATGTATAATTAAACGTCTCTCTTTTTCAAAAAATCATACAATTAATAACTTTTACCATTTCTATATTTCTACATCATAAATACGTAATGAATTTGCAATAGCATTTATTAAAATTTATCAAAATGTAAATAATAATATTTTCTATTTCAATATAGAAATATAAAATGAGAAAACCTGCACGATAGATATCTAAAAGATATTGCAAAATGTACGCGGCTTAGAGCAAACATATTTGATATCTGAAAAGAAATTGTAATAAATATCTGAAAACAAAATGTAATAAATTGATAATTAAATATAGTTGTTATTATGTAAAGTTAATTTCCATCAGCAATTATTTCCATAAATATTGCATTATCAAAAAAAAGATAAGTGTTCTACATCGAAACCAGTCTAGGCGTAGCCACTTGCTGAGGAATTATTCTTATTATAGAATTTAATAAAATGACTAAGAATCTTATTCAAAACTGGATTCGCATTTTTATCGTAAGAAAATGTTGCCTCAAATGTACAGTAAAAGTATCTTTAAAGCGTAATAAAAGTAGCACAAATTACAGAAATATAATTTTATTAGAGCACTATCGGCGCTATGAAGATATTAACACAACTGAATAGTGTGCATGTGTGTATTATTTATTACTTATTATAAGAATAAAAATATTATATTTTTAATATGTCGCAAATTCGATTACTAAAAAGCATAATTAAACTCAAGTAATATTAACTGTATTAATTAAACTAAAATAATATTAACTGTGCACAAGTTAGAACTTGCTAATTTCTTTATCTGTCAAATCTCTCAAAATCACCAAAAATATTTTGTTTTTTTTATGCACAGAAATATGTGTAATAATCAAATAATATATATGCGTAGAAATCAAATAATATATATAAATGTTTCACAGAATATGTAGATACATATTTAACATATAAGCCAATACTATAAAATAGCATTGCAATTTTTTCTCAAGATAAGCGATTCATATCAATTTTTGTACATCGATTAACGATTAAATGTGCAAATATACATGTGTGAAACCGCAGAAGCTAGGAGATGCGAAATGCGAGTAGTGTCTGATAACAAACTTGCGATAAGATACGAAACAGCAGTTATATTTATATAAAGTGCATGAGCGAGATCAATGAAAGTACTTATAGTCCATTATCTCTATTACGTTGAAATATATGACAGACAAATCAAATATTTAAATAAATGTTTACCATAATATGTTAATAAGAAAAGTTATCAAGACAATATCAAGACATAATTGTCTTGAATAATAAAAAAATAAAAACGCTTTCCAACAAAACACTGCCATAAATACTATGTCAAAAATATACTTAAACATTTACTGCGCCTGACATACTTCATTATTTTAAGTAGTATAAAAACTGTTTTTATAATTATATGTTAAACACACGCAGTTATATATAATAAAGTGTACAGCATATATATACTTTTAACTGGATACTTTTAAAATAGACTTGTGTTTATATATTTTAAAACTGCGCTACTATTTATTTACTGCGATGTTAAAATGGAAATAATTTTATTAAATTAAAATTTTATTCCTTATTAAACTTTATTAAATTCTAATTTAATAAAAAATAAATATTACAAATATTTCCATTAAATGCAAAATTTTTTTGTAAACAGTATTTAATAAATCTACTATTTAAGTCTAATATTTAATAAAAAATTCAATGTATTTATACATTTATATAGATGAAGCATTTTGTTGCACGTTAATACTTGTACTTGAATTCATTCTCATATATATCATCTCTTTTTTATTATCCGCACGACAGATATCATCTGATTTTCGTCTCGTAACTACCGTTAGATCATAAAAATAATAATTAGTAAGCATTGATCTATCCAGCCAATAAAGATAATTATACGAGTTTTACGATGGTAGACTCTTTGATTACGAAAAAAACTTATTAAGCTTTGATGCCGCGTTAGTTTCGACTCTAACGAAGGCAAAACGCCGCCGACTTTGTTAAATCCTCGTAAAACGTGTTAACCCGTACCACGAAAAATTTCTCGGGGTTGAAGTGCATGTCGTAAAAAACTAACTATGAGAAACGCG